AATAACATACATATATATATATATATATATATATATATATATATATTCAAAAAGAAAGATCAATAAAAATTCAATATCAATTTAATTTTTACTTTTAATAGTTTTCAACTTTAACACATTTGATTAACACATTTTCCCATGTTTTATCCATTTTGGAAATGCGCGTCGAGAAACTGCGTCGTGACCCGGTTCACTTTCTTTAAGCTTTCGTTCATCGTCGGAATACGTGGTCGATATTTATTGCAGCTTCTTCGTATGATATTCATTTTTCACTTTTTCTCACGAAAGAAAAACTAACAGGAGAAAAGTTTATCACACGATACACCTATCTGATATCGGATACAGATTTGACACTTTTCGAAAATCACTTTTCTTAATTTATCGTTTATTCGATTTCATAATTTCATTGATTAGTCAATATTAAACTCAAAATCAATCGATTTTATCATAAAACAAAAGATAATAAAGAAAGAGAAATAAACGTTAAAAGTATGTATACAAATATCTATTACACCGATAATATTTCTTGATAAGTATGGGAAAAAGCGTTGTTGAAAGAGACGATGATATGTCCTTGACATAGAACGCGTGATATACGCGTGAAAATTCAAGGAATTTTGTCACCAATAATAAATGGATAATTTAATATAGCGAATAACTTTCGCGCACAATAAAATGAATAAAAGATGAAAGAATAAACAGGCGGAAACAAAACAACAAAAAAATCTCTCGGATTAAGTTTGGTCGATGATCGCATTTGTAAATTGCACTACAATCCAATCGGAAATTCAATCACAATGTGATAATTATTACTCACTCGACGATTCAGGGCAGTGTAGCTTCATATACGCGTCTGGTAATGTGTATCAGGCCATTGGAACACGAACGAGCTCGCGGCCTTTCTTCCGCAGCTTCGAGTCTAAAGCCACCGTCCGCACTATATGCCGTCGAAACAGCACCGCGCGCGCACACCCGCGCTACACCATTCTCAATACCAAAACCAGCACCACCAGCAGCACCGACGCCAGAACCAATACCAACCACGACAGCGACGCCACTAACGCTTCTATACCAAGCATATTTTCAACGGCTATGATGACTGCCGCTACTACCGGCTAGACGAAGACGGAGCTAGTCAAGGTGGGGAAGATAGATACAGGACTAGCGACACTAAAGGAGAAAAAAGGAGAAAAGGAAACGATTGGTCAGGAAAATATTTTGTTGGGTTTCGTACCGTTCTTCTACGAAATTTTTGTATTAATATACACTACGTATATCCGTGTATATAGAAATCCATGCTGAACACATGCATACATGTATACACGTTGCACGCTCCTTTTCTCTATTAATTACATATATATTACACATGTATGTATACGAATTGTCACGTTCCTCAAAATGTAATACACTATTGCACGCAAAACACAATCGCGCACTACCAACACATTGATCTTTTCGAACGATTCACCGCATCACTTTTCACCATGTTTATGTTATGCTGTTGACCGAGATAAAACACACTTTATTAATCACACTGATCTGTCAGTGATGATATTGTATTCAAATTTCGATATCATCAAGTTTCGCGGAGATCGAACCCTGCAGCAGACATTTCGTGATCGTTGTATAGAAGCTGCTCGGTTCAACTTCGGATATTCTCGTGTTTGTTCGTCAACCGTTACCGCGCACTTTCGGCCGAGAATCGGAGTATCTCGGCATCACTTGAGACTTTCCACAGCCTCCCTGTCCGTTCGATTCTGTCACCCCTTCAGCGAGCAAGCAGATCGCACGGTTTCTCTTGACTTTATCGATGACAAATGCATATAAAGAGAATTCTATAGTTTATATTATATACCATATATACGTGCGCGCGCGCTCTTTTATATAAATATGTTATATATTAGTAGGAAGTGTGTGTGTTGTGTGTGTGTGTGTGTGTGTGTGTGTGGTGTGTCTACATGTATGTAAATTATAGCAGAATAATAAATTCGTTTTTGTATTATATCTTTTATTATTTTTCAATTTTATGAATAGTATATAATGCTTTCTAACAAATTTTTAAATAATATTTAAAATAAAATTATATCTTATCCTTGGCATTATAAAAGTCAAATAATTTTTTTTAACAAATTATACATATTCTTATAAAATACATTTCACTTATTTTCTATTTGTCACGAAATGATTCATAATATTTTATTAATTTTTTATCAATATTGAGATACTAGTAATATCTTTATTTTATCTTTTTTAAATATTCTTTTATTAATATTCAAAAGAGGAAATAAAATATGGATAACAATAATAAGCAATAATAATTTTTTAAAAATATTTTTTTTAATTGAATAAAAAATATTATGTAATATGAAATAAAATATAATATATATTTTATATCATAGTTTATTTATATGTCACAAATTTGTGTAATACAATACATTCGTGTCGAAGTACATTATATATATTTATTTATTCATTTGTAAATGCCATTTTATTAATACAATTAAGTTTTTATTAAATCTATAGTTCAATTTAAATTGAATTTATTCACCTATAGAATTATTCACAAATGATATATTTAAATACAATATTTAAAAATATTTATTTAAAAATTTAAAAATATTTATATATATACCAATACATGATACGATATTATAAATATATATTCTTTTATTTTTTTTCTATACATGCGTATACATATATATACATGTAAATTATCTTTAGTAAATTATCTTTGTCGTTGATTATTTTTTTAATTAATATAATATGTGTATATATGTATATACTATACATATATAGTACAAAATTATATATTTATAAGATGAATGCCGAATGTATAAAATCTAATATTTTATTGATAAACAAATAGTTGAATAATGATAATTTTATAAGATTTAAAAAACTAAAATCCAATTTGATAGAATAAAAATTGACTATATAAAAACGTACAATCTTGATAAAAAATTTCAAGAAATGGTCGAAATCAAATGTATAACAAATGTAATGTTAATAATTAAATTACAATTGATTTTCAATTACCGTGCAACACTAATACGATAAATATACATGTATATATACATGTAGATAATATCGAATTATATTATAGATAATATCATGTTAAGAGAATTTTCAAACAACGAGTTATTGTCAAACGTTAAAAAAATATATTATAAGTATGACAAATATCGACTTCAATCGATGTTCAATCTACGTATAATATTTGCTTGTAACCTTGCAATATGTTCTTTATAGCAAAAATTTATTAATAGTACATTTTTGTATTTTTTTCATTCATAGATTTAATATAAGATTAAATATATAGTTCTTGTATTTGAAAAAAAATTTTATATAAAATATTCCAAAAATTGGAAAGATAAGAAACAACAAGGAATAATTTCTATTGGTTCTACCTGACCTTGACACATCAATGACGTCACAAAAGTCAGTAAGCTATAATTACATATATCTTTTTTATACGTTTTGCTCATGTGAGATATTCTTTGTCAAATATCTTAAATATTATTAGTAATATAATAATTATCTATAATTGTCGTCTATATATTACGTATTCGTATTAGTTCTTGAATAAATATATAAATATATATTTGCGTGGAAAATGATTAAGAAAAAGTTGGTATCTTTATAAAAATAAAATGTAATATTTAATTAAAAATTTATTATTATTTTATTTCTATATTTTTAATTTAAACAAAAATTATTTTTAATTATCTTATATATTATAGAATATTTTATTTTATTTATGCAATATTTATTATCGTCAATATATTTTTAATCATATATTTAATATATTCAAATAATTTTTAATATTTCATTAAAAATGATTCGTAAATGATTTGAAATAGTTTTTATATTTTACATTCGTTTATAAATGTATGTAATTATTTATATTTAAATTATATAATTATTAATATATAATATTAATAATAATTCTATATAATATCAACAAACTTCGTATAAATCATGCTTATTCAAAGTAATTGTACATATAATTCAAAAAAGATAATAATTAATAACATTGTACATTGGAAATTTTTAGGTTATTGTTATACATTATTGTTTCCAAGGATCAGCAATATCATAATAATAGTAATATAACTTGTAAAAATAATAAAAGTAAAATTTTATGCATATCATTTCATGAAACATGTGACAATGTGATTATTGTGGTTTAGCTAATGATTCATTATATATTTTATACTTCTCTTTTCTTCTCATAAGCAAATAATTAAAACATTCTTTTCATTTTTAATTTAATCAATAAACTATATATATTATTTCATTTTATTTTGATGTCTTATTCTTATCGATCAACATCAGACACATAATCAAATTAGATAAAGTTAACGATGGTAAATTAAAAGAATTGCTGAAATGCAAGTTGAAATCAAAATTGAAAAACTTGTGAAAGAATTTATTGAATATAAGTCTATTTGTATTAGTTTATTTTGTTTCTTTCTTTTTTCTTTTTTTCGTATTAACATTTTTCTATTTTTTTAATACTTTAATAACATATTTCAATAATACATTGCATCTTTAAAATATAGAATTACAGTAGTATAATATAATAATATATAATTATAACAAAAAATTATAATTCTAATAGTATAATATATTATTTATTTATAAAATTAATTTATTATTAAAGCTATAATAATTATTATATTTATTTATTGTTATTTGTATTATATATATATATGTATAAAATTTAATAATGATATTGTTATTACACAATATTGTAATTACATAATATCATCAAATATAATTATTTTACATATTTGCTGTATATAATGAAAGAAAAGAAAAAAATTGATTAATCTATATACAAAATATTCAAAATAATATAACCAATTAACTCTTGTGTAATTTTATGTATATAAATATTGTAAGTGAAATAATATTAAGAGTATTATTGTTAGTTAGATATATAGATATAATGTCAGTTAAGTCAATTAATTCAAAAAACAACATAAATTCATTTTTCACTTTTGTTAATACAACTTTTTCCAATAGAATTAATTAATTTCTTTTCTTTAAAAATATAAATATAAAAATATACTATTTCATCAAAAGCAAATTTCTTTATAATGATTATTATTCTATGCAAAATACAGCACAAAATAATTTATTCTTAATTGTCAATTACTTATTGATAAAGTAAATATATTACAATTCATTATATTTATTCGATAATATTGAACATTTTATAAAATAATTACCTTCCATTTTTTATTACATTGTTTCGAACATATTGTATATTTATTCTATTTCTTATATATTATATTAAAATTTTTCTATATATTTGTAAAAACAATTATATTATGTCAATATTATCAAAAACAATAACGTTATGTCAATTTATATCTAGCAATTAAATCATAAGATCATAAATACATAATTCATAATTCATTTCAAAGATATATAGAGTATTTATATTAATATATTATATTAATATTAATATATTTGTTATATTAAATAATAATCTAATGTAATTATATAATAATGATATTTAATATGAAAATATTAAAGTATAGAATTCTTTTCAATATTAATTAATATGTACAAGCGTCATAGATTCAAGAAGCAAAATTCTATCTATTATAAAAAAGCATACATAATATATATATATATATATATATATATATATATAAT